GCAGAGCATAACTTTCGTCATCTTCCTCCTCGACTTCAACACTTTTTGCTCCTTTGGATGGTCTTTTCTTTGCTCTGGTGTTCCCACCAGTTTCATCTTCTTCTAGAACTCTCTTCAAACGATTTTCGGTGATTTGTGCTGCTTCATCAGTTCTCTCGTTGCTATCAGCGTCATACAGATTTCCTGGGGCTTTAGTAGCAAGTGGCGAGCTTGAATCCTGGGGTTTTTGACTAGATTTTGGAGTAAAGAAACTAGATATTGATTTCTGCGTCTTAGCTGGAGTTGAATTTGGTTTGACCATCATTGCAGGGTCCCAAGAGATTTCGTTGGAATGGAGGGAATTAATTTGAAGTAGGAATTGATATCAAGGAGACGCGACGACGCGACAGGCGTAAAGTGGATTACATAATCAGTACACCCACTAATACACCAATAGTTTCCATACAACATTTTCCCGTCAGCGAACTCCGGCATCAGAACCTGAGTTTGGCAGCTCTAATCGCTGCAACACTTCAATTCAGGTACACATCTAGGTACACATCCGAATGGAAACATCTGTATTTGCAGCTGAGGGTAGCTCCGACGGGTGGTGAATGATCAATTTATCAACGTCTGCGGGTCACATTTAAGTTTCAGTTATCGATTGAGATGTGACGGAGATGGTGCACCACAGGACGCTAGTAAGTCATAGATCGCTCGAATTGATGGAAAACTCCAGGTTGCTTGTTTAAACATTGTTCCGAGTCAAGTGTGAGAGACACAAGCGACAGGGACGTTTTTCGTTCAAGTGTGAAAGTGGAAATAGGAATCTAGGTCTAGTGGCCTTGCGGTACTCTTTGTATCGAATTGCCCGCTCGATTTTGATTCCACACAGCAGAGCGAGTGCTTTAGAACATGCGAGAAAATCACTATTTTGGGATTTTGATGAAGAGTTTTTGCATAATGTAAATTCTTTATTGTTAAATCAAATCATACAATTATATAATAATATAAGGTAATAAGAATGATTGTATGGGACCATTTGAAACAATCATAGGGCCTTAAAATGGAGGGAGGAGGGGGGCATAAGAGCTTTCCCTTTAACTGTATATCTATCCGTACGTATAAGGCTTTTAAAGCAAGGTATGTAATTTGCATCTCCAATCATTTGCAAATCTATATCTGTTCCGTCTTCTATAGAACTCCATTCACCCAAACAAGAATGTCAAAAGATCACAAAGTGTATAAGAAGTCTGGTCTCTTGTCTCCCAAAGCCTTCTTCTCAGCCTCATTGAGGCCCTCGACCCAGGCATCTCTTTCGCCCCTAATTCTGTTGCCGTTTTCCCTTTTCAATAGGAAACGTAGTAAGATACTTCCGCCTAGCAAGAAAAGAGATAAGAAAGAAATAACAATAGCGTGGCCGGTAATATATCTGGGCTTTTGGAAATAGATGTTTGAACTGATGATGCCACAAATATTACCCCATCCAATCATCATTCCTAGAACAACACCTCGCTTGTAAGAGCCTTCAACGTTGTTGGAAATCCAAGAGATAGTGTTGGCTACGCAAGGATAGATACCGAGAGCGCCGAGGAAAGTTCCCGCGTATTTGACGCCTGGTTGCTCACTAGCCAGTAACATAGAGAAACCGGCAATGGCAAGAGAAGACACGGTGATATTACACAAGCCTCGTTGACCGGTACGATCGGCGACGAATCCAATCACAATTGTCAAGATGGCTGCTGCTACATAAGGTGGGACGGAGAGGAGTTGAGCTTTGGTTGTTGTGTAGCCAAGCTGGGTGATTATCGTAGGAAGGAATAGCGAGAAAGCATACAAACTCACGGAACAAGCAGAGTACACTGTCATCGCGAGCCACGTCTTGTAATCTTTGAATGCCTGCCAGATAATCGCTGTGTTGAAATCTTCATGACCTGCTGCCTGATCGTTGGCTTGCAAACGGCGGATAACCCTGTTTCGATCGGCTTCACAAAGGAATCTAGCTTTCTCCGGGAAGTCATGAACCAACCAGAATGAAGCGATTCCAGCTAGGACAGTGACGATTCCTTCCAAGATGAAAATCCAAGCCCATCCATGAAGTCCACCAAGACCATCCATTTTAACGATGGCCGCAGCAAGCAATCCACCAAAACTACCAGATACAGCAGCTGCGGAAAAGAATATTGCAATTCGAACACCAAACTCGGATCTCTTGTACCAGCAAGATAGGTAGTAACTAATACCGGGAAACAAGCCTGCCTCGGCGAGACCAAGAAAAAATCGTGCAGCCATCAACCCAGACCAGTTCGTGACGAATCCCATAAATGTCATGCATAGGCCCCAGCCAATTCTATAACGATATCAGTGGCCAACTTTTGTCATTGTGGGATTTTGGTGCACAGTATGAGCAACACCAAACTGCTTACATGATGATTGGTACGAATATCGACGGGCGGAATCTTTTGAGCATCACGTTCGTAACAGGCTCAAATAATGCATACGCGACAAAGAATATGGAAAGTGCGGCATTGTAATCACCAGTTGACATGTTATTCAAGTCTTTTTGCAAGCCGTCAATCTTCGCGTTTCCGATATTTGAACGGTCGAGGAAGGCGAGTAGGTAGAGAACACAGAGCTGTCGAAGTTAGACGGCAGATATGCTGGAGATTTGAAGATCACTTGCCCATGGTATTAATATCCAATCGAGCTTTCGTACCAGCTTACGATCCTGCACAGCAAATCAGTACAATATTGGAATTCCATGGATGTGCCCATAATCTCACAATAGCAGCCTTTTCCTCGTCGCTCAAATGTGCATCTGGGTCGGGAGGTAGTAGATCGGGAGACGGAGCATTTTCATGAAGACCCACGACCGCCTTCTCATCGTCGCTGTTCCCAAAGGCTCTGGGCAGGTTATTCGAAGCCATTATGTACAAGACGGAGCAGCTATGCGTATTGTATCGATTGGAACGGAAAACAGTAGTGAAGCGGTGTATTGAAGTCTATATAATAGCATACTCAGGCTCCAGAGCTAAAGGCAAGTAGGTAAACATTGGCTTTAAGTTTAACTGGAATGAGCTATGATACTTGAGATCGACTATCTAAGACTTTCAAGACCCGCCGGTCCCCAAACCCGTAGGACTTGTAACAGCGGAGCCAATGAAAAGATAGGCCAAAGCATCATGGACTGAGCTATGACGAAAAGCGGCAATCATCTATCAATAAAGTTTGACGACATGCGGCTACTACGACGATTTACCCTCCTTGTGGGAAGAAGGGATGTAGACTGAGAATGGAATGGCAAGGTAAGAAAGGAAGATGGCATTCATTTTTCTTCTGTACAATAAATCACTCAGGAATGAATTCATACATTAAAAACACCTAAATTTCATTTGTCCTCTTCAAGATATCGTTTTCGAATCAAGATATAAAGGTTCCGGAATACATATTGTATGAGGGTCTAGAGAAGTTTATCCAATGTTTGTATCTAGATAATCATCTTCAGAAATCTTCCAAATATTGAAAAGAGTGAAGACTTTTGGTGTCCTAGTTTTCCTATTCTGCTGGAATCCTTGTTGACAAAGAACGTTACTGATATCATTCAATGTAATTGATACGCACAACAATAATTATAGTCTGTCTTGAACCACCTTGATAAGTCCCTTATCACTCAATATTGGCAATTTCTTATTCAAAGTGTCGAATATCCTTTCCTATTGCAATCTCGAACTACGAGAAAAACTGGTGGCTGGTCAATACCATACTTCAAGTCGATGATCTTCAATATTTGGTATTCTTAGGGCCAGATTAGCCTTGAATCCAAGCCAACGAGACCGCCGCTGTCTGTCGTGCATTGGCGTATCGTAATATTGTTCCGATGTCAGTTCTATCTCTAATCCTCGAACTGCCATGATTTCTTTCAAACCTCCGATTTTCAGAGGAAGTACGCATTTCTGATTCCGCAAAAGCATTTGAGATATCGACACATTGGGCAGAATGTCTTAAAGGACTGATCTGATCAATAAAGATCGTCCATCATTATGTAATCCACCGTGGAGTTGTATGTCATTGGGAAACAACCTTGGAAGTTAGAGGAACTACGTCGTAATAGTCTTGCGATCAAGCTCTCCATCGAGAGGGGAAAATATGGGTATCAAGGGCAAGTCTAGATGAAGGGGCCAGTGGATGTGGGGTTGGCCAGAAACGTTCCGTTAGCATGAAGTACTATAAAGAGTTCCTGGATATAGTTCATGATATTCGAAAATTCGATTGAGTTGAAAATCAAGCAAAGTCATTCAAGCCTAAATACTTTGATAACAACAATTAGAGTGCTTCTGATTGATTTACATGATTACTCTGATCTACGATTATATCAACCACTTCAACCGTGTAACGCTTGAGATCCCCAGGTTGTTATGATTAATCAATCAATTATTGTATTGCATTGTAAATATCTTCTGTTAGATCTCTTTCTCTCCTTCTTATAGAATGACGATGATAATAGTATTAATGATAACTTTGAAGAGATTATATGTAGATGAGATGGAGTTGAGAGTTACCAACTGATAGAATGAATAGGTGATTTCTGTACTGATATCCCACTTGATTCTCGGAGTCTATAATCTAGGTAGAGTTCCCAGAAATTGAGGAGAATAATGGAAATGATATACTGAGAGATCGTTCTACGGGTCATTTTCCCTGTCTGTAAGAACTTGATCATACAAAGATGATTAAGTGTTTGTTGGCAACATTATCTAGAGGCCAACAAATTGTGAATCTTACGTGCCACCTAAACCTGGAGAAGAAGTAGCACAAAATTTTGGAAACTGTCTTCACAAGACACGATTCTCTGGTCATCGTATGAGTACTTTATGAAGTCAAAGAAAATTTGGTGTACATGGAGATAGACAGTTCTTGATCAGACTCATCGTGATGTGCCGCGTATATATATAATGAATCAAGCTTCCCACTGTTCATCATATAGCCCACGAAAAATAAATAAGCTCCTACATGCTCTAAAAATGCCGTCATCTACGACGATTGGTACCATTCTTGTGGTTGTGGTTGTAGGTACCGTCTGTGGTCTCGCGGGCCTCTATTACTGGGGGAACCGAGGAAAGGGATGGTCCGGTCCTAGCAAGCACACTTCACGTCGTTCTGGTAGATCTCACCCCTTAGTTCCTCCGCTTATAATCCCCCCATATTGCAATGGAACACTTTGGGCCCGAGCTAGCAATATTCCGCCCGAAGTGCCTTCACCAGCTGTACGCAAGACTAGCGGAAGACAAACGACCCTGCTAGAAGATCGACAGCTACCACAGTCATCTCAACATGATGGTTATCGCTATCCGCCTCAGCCTATCCAGCCGCCGCTTGTCAAGCCACAGCCTGTCAAACCACAGCAGCCTCCCCAGCCGCATCCGGTTCAGCCTCAACCTCCCCTTAGAATCACAATCCCACCTCCTGTTGCAGGAGGACTTTACGGCTTGAAAGGTGTATTCCCACAACCGAAACGAGGAGGGAGAAGCCCTTGAAACGTGGAACGATTTCGAATGGATCATCAATACGTACAGCTTCTTGACTGTGTCTGATCATCGCGTCCGATAGTCAGGACTGTTGTTTAAAGACTAGAAACTTTTAAATGTTTAATTCCTTTTGAGTGTTAAAAGTATTGTGGATATTAGAATGGATTCAACCATCAAGTTGTTTCAAGACAATGAATTTATGAAATCAATAATAATATGTCCAGAATCTCAAAGCTAGAACCTGACCATGGGCCGCAGGCCGAGCCATCGGAAATACTGTGTTTAATTTTGAGAATTTAAAATGACACTTCTATATATTTGAGAATAATGCAATTCTTGACTGGGTAACAACTTTTCAGAGTACCTTTACCGTACTTATTCATATAGTTCATAGGATAAAAGGAAGGATAACATCAACGCGAATATGCTTCGTGCGTGTATTAATGTTCACTGGAAGATATGATGCTTAGTCAAAATTGATGATTAGAGAAAAGCAGTGATGTTGAAAGATGACCTTGCTATGTTCACTAAACCGGAGATGTGATCAATGTCTTCATTAAGTCGGAAGGAACAATGTCTGACTTTTGTTACCCCCTCTATCAGAATTCAAAGCAAGTGTGTATCTTACCACTCACTTTCCTTCTCGAAGATTGAGATAGCATGACCGGTGGGAAGAAATTCGATTTACCTATGATTGCTTCTCTCAAGAGTAAGAAAGGGGAAGGGGAAAGTTAAAAGGGGAGGGGAATATTAATATGGTAGAATCTTCTGATGGTGGGTACAATATGTCTCGCAACCGAGAGTAGTATAATTTCAACCATTCTTCACCCTTGAGCACCTTATCAAATGTTCAAAAGATCCACGGTACTCCTTTATCTGTGGATTTTTCATATCAGAAACTTTCAGATTCCATAAGTATATATTCGCCGCAATTTGGTATGTTTTAGAGCTCGGATAGTTAAGTAATATATATCCGATTTTTTGCCGATCATGTTTTCCGTGAAGCTTTCTGAAGGGAATGAGTACCTACTCTGTAGATATGCTTTTGACTTCGGTATTTGGGAGGTAGAAACACTGAGATCGATGTACATGATCATTCTCATAATCGTTGGTCTACATTATCCTAATTTTTTTGACATGTATGAAGCACATTTGAGATGAAGGGGCTCAGACGAACTTTGATGAACCTCAAAGTTTATTCGTCTTGAAATACCCCCACGATGTGTACACTTTCATGTCAAATCACCATGTATCATGAGCAGATGAGCCTCATAGAAAAGAAATCTTTGGTCCTATGTGAAATTTGAACTGTTGACTCCACTTGGTAAGAACAGTGACTTGATAAGGTCAATGTGCTAGGTGTCGGCCTTGAAAACTTTGCTCCCTAATCTTCAGAATTCATCACTAATCAATTGCCGAAGTTCCCATTGGATCATGTAAGCATTTCAGATTTTCTTTGACTTGTATGGCAATTGGACTTTGTCTAAGTCCGATGTCGTTTTATAGATCCTATACATCCATGTGATGATCTAGTGTGAAGATTTGTGTCCTCTAGCTCCTTTCAGATAACCTTACATTTGAGAAGCGAGAGTCGACCCGTCATACGTTATCAACAGATGGTTTAACGACCGTGCCATCAAAGACCGCTGTGCCCGTCATCATTTTGACTCGAGTAGGCCCTAAGACTATGACGGCAACAAGAATACGACTGGTGCGTTTCTGGTGGAGTTTTATAGCTTAACTCGTATCAAAATCGAGCTCGTCTAACCCCACATGAAGAAGTTCAGTTTCTGTGAGAATCCAATCATGAGATGAGAAAGAAGGTTGAATACGAAGTTTTTGTGCCAAGAGATACACTAGAAGATCGACCGCTTGAATTTGACGTCAAACTATAAATAGCTCGGCAATTGTTCTTTTCCCCTAGAATCTTCAACTCTCATGCACCAAAATCGATACATATTCTACTCCCATAACCCTTAGATTCTACAATTTATTTCGTATTCAGAAACTCGGATTCTAGTCATCATAAGCCACATTCCATAATGCAATGATGCATTCCATAGTAGCGAAATGTATTTAGTGGTATGAATAGATGCCGTGGTAGAATGGGAGATTCTAAAGTAGCTGGAAGGCCATGTGATTGATGAATTTCATTTTCGTTATCGTAGAACTTAAACCTAATCGACAAGAGCTAGAATCTATCATCTCGAGATGGAATCCAAGGGGCGTGGGAGTGAAAAAACTTAGAATTTTAGGGCATGAGATTAATTTGTTGTAATTGGTTTAGTTCGTCGCGTTCTCTACCCGGATTCGTGCATCTCTTGACTCCAAGTACGATCCTGCCCCTTGTCTAGCGTCCGGCTCCCTCTCTCTCCAGAACTTCGGTATCATACAAAACTTTATTTCAACGGTCATAAGTGGTGGCGCCGGTGAGTTGTGCTGTTATGAATTATCACGAATTGTGCCGTCGAAATTGATTGGTCTTATCTCATCCCAATGTCTCCTTTTCTGATATAACATCGTATCAGTTAGTCATATTAGATGATATTACTTATAATGAAAAGCTTTTGCTAGGACCTTGAATGTTCAAGTCTAAACTTAATTTGATCAAGTTCATTACTTTCCTAATCATGATTGTTGACGGGGCTCAGATATTCACTCTAATTCAATCCACATTCCTCCATTTTATGATTAATTGTCAATATGTACAAAATTCTTAACCACCCCCCATTCCTGCCATACTTTGTTACTGGTAATATAATATTTTCTTCTCGGCGTACATTCGTATCTTTTACAACGACATCATTTGATATTCAAGATGTTGGCCAGTTCTCTATCTAAGAGGATTACCATAATCATCATTGTTATCTTCGTTTTATATCTTGCCCTTCGAGATCAATTATGGTCTTTAGAAACTCCAATCTTTCTCCAGAAGCCCATCTCTAGCTTCACCATCAGTACCACTTATACTACTTACAATCAACCGGATGATCTCACAAATCTCAATGTCCCAATCCATACCACCGATATTACAGTAAATCCCACGACAGATGAAATAAAAATATCAGATATAGTCCGCAGGTTACATGAAACCGCACCACCAAAACTTACCGAAAGTGCCGCATGTGTAGGCCGAACCCTTGGAATTGAAGAAGTCACAAATGGTACAGAGCGTCGAGATGTAACACCAGTATCCGACGAACAAGTCGAAGCCGCAAGACTCGCCCATGATTTTGCGGTAGATATAATACGAAATTCGACTCACCTAATTCCATATAAATCTGGTACAAGAGGAATTGTAACTGTAGCAGGTGGAAGATTTACCGGCGCATTACTCGTCTCTCTGCGCATGCTTCGCCGAACAAATTCTACATTACCAGTGGAAGTCTTTATGCCGAATCCAGAGGATTACAATGAACATACTTGTGAAGTAGTGCTACCATCACTCAATGCACGCTGTGTTATGATTCCAAAATACGAAGACCTCACTATCTCCAAATATCAGTATAAGATATTTGCAGTTCTTCTGAGTGAATTTGAGGACGTCTTGTTTTTGGATGCAGATAACTTCCCAATTGTCGACCCGGTTGAGTGGTTTGGAGCACCGGTTTTCAAACAGAATGGCTATGTTCTGGTGAGAGACTTTCTTTCCTAAAAAAATTCCTTCAAAAAAATCACTTGCTAACAACTGCGCAGTGGCCCGACTTCTGGTGGGCGACGACATCTCCCCACTACTTTCAAGTCCTTGGACTTCCTACTCCTTCTCTCCTCTCCCTCGGCACCACCGAATCTGGTCAAGTAATCATGTCCAAACGTACACATAGCGATGTTCTTCTTTTAGTCCTCTACTACAATATTTTCGGTCCCTCATTTTATTACCCACTATTAACGCAATGCGATGCGGGCGAGGGTGATAAGGAAACATGGTTATATGCAGCTATTGCCCTCGAAAGGAACTATTATCAAGTACGACAAAGAAACGGAATTATCGGCCATCATACCACCGACGGATTTAAAGGCTCTAGTATGATGCAACACAACCCCAGCGATGATTATTCTGAATACCTTCGAGAAGAAACGGAGCAGAAGGAACACCCAGTTTACAGAAAAGATAAGGATGCCGAAGTAGTGTTTATGCATCATAATCTTATTAAACTATCACCGGTTGAAATGATCGGTTGGATAGCGAAAAACAAAGGAAGTAGAATGTGGGGAAATAAGGAGAGTACGATGAAGACGTTCAAAGGACATGATCTAGAAAAGACTATTTGGGAGGAAGTTCTCTGGGTGGGCTGCCAGTATGGAGAAAGTTTGGTCAATTGGACTGAGGAGGTTTGTGAGGGACTAATGCAACATTGGGGAGGTATTGTGGCGAGGGAGGCGGAAGAAGAAATTCGAAAGATGTTTGGAGTCAACAAACAGGCGGCGACAAAGGAAAAAAAGGGAGAGTAATGATGGTAAATGCTGGTTTGATATGGAGTTTTGGGTATTCTTCTTCTTGTGGATATAATTTTGGATGGATTTAATGGCGTTTCGAGATGGGCTAGGTATTGGAAGTATGCTCACGCACGGCGCTGCAAAAGCAATGTTTGGATTTCGGGGAAAGGATGTCCAGTTGGATATATTACGACATTACGGCGTCTCCGCATGGGAGAGGATAGACATATAAAAAAGGACCAGCTATATAGCTGGGAATACCCCCTGAAAGTATTTAGATCAACATCTAGGATATTCAATGAAGAAATTGAAAAGGAAGACAAAACTCAATCTTGCATGCCGAAGCACGATGAACAGGCTTGTGGAACTACTAGAATTTCTGGTGGAACGGGCTGCAATTCAAAAATTGGGCATTTAAGACGGATTACTCATGAGATCTTAAAAGAGATATACAATATTTTGAGACCTAGGAACTCTCAAGTTGGATTGCATTCTGAAGTCTTGGAAACCCTGATGAGGGTAAAGAGTAGCGAACACGATGAAATGATAGATCAAAGAGGAGGATATATAAA